TATTCTTGAACATTTTCTTTCATTTTTTTTCAACAAGTGCAAAGTTTGCCTTTCCCTCATAAGCTGGGTCTTGATTTAATTAGACTTTTTTTTTTCACACTAACCTGCGTCACTGATTCAAAAACCAGCATTTTATTAGGAATGCAGAATTCAAAACAGAGATTCAAAGCAAATATATTTGGCATTTTTAATAAAGAGACAAAGCCGCGCTGATTGATCAGACCATGAAAGTCATTACTTGCGGTTGGCTGGGCATTAACATGATTGATGGTTAATATCTTCTGCAAATCTAATTAAAGTGTCGGTCTCTGGCAAAGGAATGGTCCTGTGTTGGTCCCAAAATTCAGCAAAACTGTTGTCAAGAATTATGTCAGTGTGAGCGGTTATACGATTAGCTGGTGAGATCATTTTTAAGAAGTGACGGGTCCTTATGTTCCAGCAGTGGCTGAAAGATCATATGGATAAGTCCTGCAATCAAAATAAACAAAATGAATGAGCAAATCATATGAAGCCTTTGGACAGGCAATGTCCTAAAATGCCTCACTGTAAAAGGATAAAGTCTTAGAAACTCTGTAATAACCATCAACACAGAGGTGCTTGTTTGTGTCTTCATGCTACACTGAGCACAACTGTGCACGCAGCCAAGCAGCTTGTTTACTCCAGGTGTATTAGAACTGGTTCTGATTACCAGAGGATTTTAACTAAAACTCACTCGTGCAAAGAAACTTAATTGTGAGATTCAAGTGGAAAATACAAATGATAATGCTAGAAAGTACCTTAAAAACAACACAGGTCAGATGCTTCTCTTTCAAATGTGATTAGCTGGGCTACGTGTGCATGAAGAGTGCAAATATACACTTTTCTTGATAAGTGAAATCTAAACGAGGAGTTTCAGACACACCCTTTTCATAACCGTACTCCTCAGCTCTGGATGAGCCAAGATTCAGGAAGAACTACAAAACAACCGATGGAAGAGTATAAAACATACGCTGTCTTGGAACACAAAGCCATACATGGAAAAATCAATGCACGCCACAGCTCACACACTGTGCACTTACTGAAGTAATGTATGCAGCTACAATAAGACATGTTTTTCTCCCGAGTGAGCTCCCATGCAGCTCTGTAACCAGTGTCTGATGAGTGTGTGTGTTTCATACTTCACACTGTGCAGAGTAAGCTCCAAACCACATGAATTCAGTGTTTGATTTAGCAGGAGTGAAAGAGGGAAGAATGGAGATGGCGGCCATCTGGCCATGGTGTGGGGAGATGAGAAGCAAAAGCGGTGGTTGGAGCAAAGGGTCCCTCGCATCATTCCATTCCTTCTGTAGTCAGATCCCTGTGTTTACCCTGCTCGCCACATGGGACTGAGGAACCTCCTTCTCCCTGATCTCACGAGTGAAGTCGCAGGCTGAAAGCGTGTTTATCTTTTCCAGGATTTTGGCGGGAGGGAAAGAGGGGGTTGGGGGGTAGTGATGGAGCCAAAGGAGAATAAGTGCCGGAGAGCCCTGACAGTAGCTTGGAATTGTATAATGTTCCTGGCTATGAGGAAATGCATTCCTCTGTGCTAACAATGAGCATAAAATGATGCACAACACATCTAAATGTCTACTTGATATAATGGTGCAGCTGAAAAGAGGGTTTCAACAGTGGTTTGAATATCACTCAGTATGACAGTAAAGCAGTTTTGAGGAAGCAATGTAAAAAAAACTAGATGCATTTTGTGCTTCTTGTGTTTTACCATAATGTTTTACTCATAAAACTAAGCATCAGAAATTACAAAAAGTATAGATTTTACAATTATTGACTGCTGTCTTGTAACCACCTTGATAAAACAGAATGATTGCCTCATTAATGATTGAAAATTGTTCCTCTAAAGAGTGAAACAGTTAACAATTCTGCATATTTGCAACAGACCTTACAAATTTTATATCTCTTTGCTGATAGAGTCTGTTTTTCAGTGAATGGCTATAGTTTGTTTTGTTTTTTTCCAACAGCCTTCCCTACGCAAAGATTCCACTCCTCTAACGTGTCTTGGAAACTTCAAACCACACAAGGGGAACCTGGAGGATGTGTCAGTCTCTGTGGTGTGTCATGCATCCAAAAGTTAACCTCAGCATCGAACTGAGCAATGAGCATAGCCGAGGTTTCGACATTTTCGTTGGGCAATCAGTCTTGAGGCTTTTATTGAAACCTTGTCGTGGTTCAATGCTTTGCCTCTTTCATCAGAGAAATTCACTGACCAGGCTTTCCCTGGAGAGACTCAAGTGCCCCAAATCCCAAACTCAAAAGCAGGAAACTAATGCCTGCTAATGCCATTTTCACCCTCTCAGCTTGTGTGTGTGTGTTCTCATATATATATATGTGTGTGTGTGGATCAGTTTCTCGCCCTTTGGCCACTTTCTGCTTTTTCCTCCACCTGGAAAAAGGGAGTCATTACAGTAAAAAGTGTTTACTCATGTAGGAGAACACAGAGTGTGTGCAGGGCAGTGTCAAAGTACCTTCTTGTACTTGTCCCAGAGGCCTCACAGCCACAGGAGTCAAGTATTCCCCTTTCAGATTACAATTTATACTCAACAGAAGGGTCTCTGTAACAGAGTGGATGGTCACAAGGTAGCCTCAGGTAGTCTTAGAGGATCAAGAGGGGTTTGTTTGTTTGTTTTTTCAAATTCCACATTCCTGAAATGAACTACATGTTGTGCCAGATTGCTAAGCTACCTGCTGCAAGGAATAACAAAGCCATACAAACAGTAATACGATCCCAAGGAAGTTTTGGGAACGTTCATATTTAATTACTGCTGTGCTGTTTGCCAAGTGAAAATGTCCTCTGTTTCTGCATGAAGCAGAGTAATCTGACTATCAGCTGTACCCGTTGTCAGTGGAATGATACGTAAGTTGCATTCTTGAATGAAAAACCGATTGAAATCTGCCATAAATACAGTTAGCCTTATATTTCAAAAAATAGCATGTTGTAGTAGATTCCTCAGGCTCCAGAATGTAAAGCCAGGCAAACTCCTGCAAGTTGTTTTCAATGATTTTTTCCTGGACAAAACAGAAACATGAATTTCTGATTACAGTGTTGCTGTTTTTCCAGCCACAAGTGGTTTTCTTATCATGCATTTCATCTCATAAAGCTGACCTAAGGACATCTGCTATAGTACAGCGGGTCCTCTGCTTATCGTGGCAAGTAAGGATAGCTTAACCGCTCAACAGCTCCCTCCGCAACATGTTAACGATCAAATCCCCGGAGGCAAAAAAACAGAAGCACATAAAATATGAGCTATCTCAGATGAAGCAGAGGTTTCCAAGTTTCTTCAAAATGAAGACAGAGCGTGTAAAAGAAGCCAGATCTATCAGGAGAGAAATTAGGGCTCTGTGGGGAACACGGATGACTCACAACCAGACAAAATCATCCACTGTTTGTGTGTTTGTGAATTCCCATGGAGCAGATTTCTGTTGGCAAGGTTGTAGAAAAACAAAAGATGATGGTCCTGAACACTGACACCTCCCACACGTCCAGCAGGGCGTTATTGGAAAGTGTTCAGTTAGAGTAGGCCTGTCTAAACGACTAATTCAAAGAACTTGAGCTTCTTTTTTAGATGATCTTGGGAAATGCCCTAGTTAGCAGTCATAATGTGGGAAACTGCCGTATAACCACAAGTCTGTAATGTCTGCGCCACAGGCAGCGTGATGAGAGTTGTTGTATAACACCATTGTATGCTGTTGTTTTCTCATGAGGTGATGCTATTAGAACTCTAGTAACCTGTTTCAGGAGTGGAGACATGTCCAAACAAATATGTAAAGGTGGATAAGCTTTTCTTTTTCTTTTTCTTTTTTTTAAAGAGAACTTCCTTTACAAGACTTCTTGAACAGTTACTGTTCATGAACTCTTACAGGGAGATATCACATACTGTACTTAAAGTCTGAGTCATACAGACTATGCAATAAAACCTATTGGTGTCATAACTGACAGTATATCATCAGAGGGACTGTGAGGTTAACCTCACCAGGCACTGTAATCCTGTCCAGGCTAAGACCAGGCTAAATTAGTTGTAGAAGATATTTTGTAGGCTAAATATGATAATCAGTCTTCTTCAGTGTTTGAGACATAGAAAAAAACAAAAAACAATATATATAATTTCTCCACCACTACACTCACAATATCCTCAGAAGCCAGAAAGCTCTTTTTTATGAGCTCAGCAACCTTGGTAGTGCCATATTTATTTAAAGTTGTAACTTGGGGAAGTCCGAATCACTGAAGAGAATCTACTTTCTGTTTTTTTTTTTAACCCCTATAAACTATTAGTGTTTCATTCATTCACAGTACATTTCGGGACAATTTTGACACGGGCCACCAACTTCAGAAGCTCTCTCTCCTCTAGCTTACCTTTTGTCTCTTTTTATCCTCTTCTCTTTCCCCTCACCCCCACCTGGTTGCAGCAGATGTCTCTCCTTCCCCGAGCCTGGTCCTGCCAGAGGTTTCTTCCTGTTAAAAGGGAGTTTTTCCTTCCCACTGTTGCCAAGTGCTTGCTCACAGGGGATTGTGTATTTTTTGGGCTTTCTTTCTAATATTGTGGAGGCTTTACCTTGCAACATAGAGCACTTCCTGTTGTTGTGAATTCCATATAAATATAATTGAACTGAATTGAATAGGTGTCTACAACAAATTGACTAACTACAGATTAACTTGATTTTAACTTAATTTTAGTTTAATCTCACCTTAGAATTAAGTCGATTCTTATGTATTATAAATGTAAAAATGTAAAATCTGTTGGTGCTTGGTATGTGTTAGGGTCAAGGTTAATCCTGGTAAGTGCTTGTTGTACCGAATGATCATAGTTTGACACATTTCTATGAAGTATCCTTTTGCTTTCACTTTTGTGTTTGAATATTATACATATTATGACTTTTCAAGAGGCAATAAACATCCAGCCACCGCCTCCATTCAGCCTGGGAATTTTCTCCGTCTCGCGAAGCGTACAGACTCGAGGAGCTCACGACGTGGTGGTGTGATACTGTACGTGATTGGCGGGCGGGTGGGTTTGGTTTGTGTGTCTGGGAACCTGCTACTGGTCTCCCATCCATACACACTCACACACAGAGAGAAAGAGAGAGCCACGGTCAGACAGACTGGCTCTCCAAAACCGACAGCAGGGGGAAAAAAACCTCTCCTCTCGCGGCTCAGAAACCAGCAACTATCGCAGAAGTGAAGTCGACGCGATGTTAACCTCGAAATGCTCTCTTTTATTTTGAGAGGAAGGCTAACAATAGGGAAGAAGCTGTTTAAAAGTAGGTGAAGTGTGACAGCTGGAGACATTTAACCCAAGGATTTGTTGACTGCACGTGGAAACTGCTCGCTCAGACGCATCGGTGAGTAGTCTCTGCGTCCCGCTTACTTCCCGCAAACAATCAAAAGTTGGGCAGATATTTTACACAGGCGTACGGGGGGAGTTTCTTGTTATTGATGAACGACTGGAAGACTGCGCCAACAACCTTTCAGCCACTTTGCGGTACAATCAATATAAGCGTGCGCGCGCGCTTGTTAATCATTAACTAGCGCACGCGACGGTGTGACTTACTTAAAAAAACAACTTGTGTATTTTTTAAATTATTATTATGTATCATTCTCTCGGGCTTTCTGAACGGATTTCTTTGTCAACATTGTTATTATTTGAATTGTTTTGCTGTTAGAAAATATATATATATATATTTTTGTATCCGCGTTCACGTTTTTGTGCTTTAAAGTGTACGTTTGATGCCTGTCTTGTAAATTAAAATTAAATAGCTCACATAGTTTCTGCCAAACGTTTAATATTTGAGCGCCAGCCCAGCATATACAAATATTCCAGTGAAATTCCTTTGAGCCCAACGTGAATGTGGGGAGTTGTCCAGCACGAGTATTATGATTGCAGGGTGTGCTTCTCTGTCATCTGTTTGTTTGCTCGTCTTCATGTCACAGTGGCAAGTTAGAGTATAAAAGCCTCCAGATATTATCCACATGCTAATGCACACATGTTAAAGCTGCAAAGGGTTATAGTTTGAATTCCTTCCAGTGAACCGGACAGAGCAAGATGTTTGAAGGCTAAATATGTTCACCTCTTAAATCTAAAGCGTTCAGTGTTAATATTTGGATAATTTGTGCAATATCCAAAACCAGGTTTTTGGCATCTTTGTGCTAAAACAAAACAGTCCAAATGTGTATGGAAACTGTTTAGAGCCCCAGGGGCCACCTCAGAGCTTTTAAAAAGGGAATGATGAAATAGTGTTTTTAGTTAAAATGTGTATCAACCAAATGGCCTTTTTAAAGGGAAAAAAGACATATGCTTTGGCTTTAAATATATCTTAAAAAAATCTCAGGGGTGGCTCTTTACAAAGTCCAACACATGCTTGTATTTAAATACTACTATACCAAATCCCAAAGCAATTCCCACTTTTGTATCTCCAGGACATGCTGCAGACCTTGAAGAATGTTTAGTTGGGATTAGCTGTGAGGCTCCTTATACTGCCCCTATGCTCCTGGTGGCATTAACTAACCCACTTACATTAAAATATTGCTTCTTGCTGCCTGAGTTCAGGATTTAATTTGCTCTGGCATGCCATAAAAGATAAGCTTATACCTTTCCCCATAATTCAGTGTCCAATTACAGTCATGATGTAAACTGTTGAGCCGGCTCCCTCCCTGTGTGTCCACTACCTTGGCTTCTTCTTCTGCTAGACAGCAAATATCCTCGAAGGCAGACATAAAGAGATAAAGATACTTGTTTCTGTGGTGCATCTGATATAGTGAACAAATACACTCTGCTGCCAGGGTTTCTGGTAAAATGACATTGAAGTCTGGAGTCTAAGGCTTTCCCTGAATTGCTCTGCTCTATGCTGTGTTTTAATATACTTAATGGAAGGGTAATGAAAGGAAGACACAAGAGAGATATAGGGGTGTGTCCTTTAAGTCCCCCCCCCCCCAATTGCCAATTGGTAACCTGCTAAAATTTGGGTAAAATACTGGCTGTCGTCCCTGTCACTTTTCCCCAGTCCAGTTAGCAGACAGCAGAGGAAGGGCGTGACAATCCTACTGACCAGCTGCCACATCCTACTTCTGCAAATCTTGAATGACTAAACAACAGTGAGCCTTATCTGCACTAGATGACATCTAGAACTAGCGCTGTATTAATATGAAAAATACTACTTAAAGAAATGTCAGCTAGAGTGAGTTAATTCCAACACATTACATGATATTCTTTGTCATGGCAACCAACTCAATTATTTTCAGAAGAGAACCTGATGTTTTTGGCTTGCCTTCAGATTTTTAGTTTCTTTAAATTCAGAAATATGTAGAATTTCATCTTGATGCATGCTCAATCATCCAGGTAGGTAAATCCACAAAATTTGATTGATCAGTTCATCTGTACGTAGCGTTTTCAGTGGGAGAAACGTTTCAAGGAACTGACCTCACAGCCCACTGTTCCTTCAGTGGTGCTAGTTTAAGTGATACTGTTTATAAGACTGGGGAAACCTGGAGTCAGCTGAGACTGAAGAAGTCACTTGGGTGAGTGACGAAATGTTTCTCCCACTGAAAATGCTATGTCCAGATGAACAGAATCAACGTTTGTGGATGTAGAATTTCATGCCTAACATCTCTCTCGCCCCATCACAGTTCACTTCAACTCATTGTTGCCAACTTAGTGACTTTGTCACTAGATTTTTTTTTGTTTTTTCAGCATCCTGCAAAAAAAAAAAAAAGTACTCAAAACGAAACACCCCCGCCCAAAAAAACTTCAGGCGGTACTCCTTCGCGAACGCTCTTGTTCTCCCGCTGCTGGCGCAGTTTTTTCACCATCTGCTCTGTTCAGCGAGTGACACCGAACAACAAGGTTTCAGCTAGTGACAGACAGCTGTGCAGCTTATGAGAGGAAAAAAACCCATCAAGTTGCATCTGTTTCTCTCAGTCATCATTTTACTTGTAAACGCAGACAAAAATCACAGCACAGCCATTATATCTAACTTTGGCTTTTGCAAGATGATGTTGAAGGGCGGGCGCTGCGTTAAAAAAAAAAAAAAAATCAGAATTTTGCATTGAGGGATTGTTGCTCTTATTCAGTATTTTGGCTGTATGGAGTGGCATTTTTGTCTTTTTACCTTGATGTATATTTACGTCTGTACTGTTATGCAATGTGTCATGCCATTGGTCCTCTAACAGTCATTATGCTCGTGATCTCTGCAGTGTTTGAGACATCTCTCATTAAGTGCTCTCTATCTGCTTTTCTTCTGTTTTCCCAGCCCCCTTCTCAAATGTTTTATTGCTAGAGGGCACTGGGCTCTAAAGAATGAGCTCATTTGGGGGCCTGGCATGTCATTCATTGATTCATGGTTAGCCCATGCTGCCCTGGCAATATATAACCTTCACTAACAGCTGACTTGCACAGGAAAATGGATGGGACCTTCCATATCTGTTTTAAGGGGAGAAAATAACATCCTATTCAGTCTGGTTGATCTATGGTGCTCCCTTTTAACACAAAATGGCCATTAAATGGCATGTGCACTATTCGTTCTCGTGTACATTGCTATATACACATATGCGCGCCATGTGTATTGTGACGAGAAAAAGTTTACAACTCATTGAATTAACAACAGAATTTAAAAAAAGATCCTTATGCAAAATATGTTCCTTACCTGAGTAAGAGCCTACAGTTTGAGCTTCTCTTAGATTATGTATGCAGACACGGATGTCTCTGTTTATTTTCTCAAAATCGGTGCGATCCCTCTGCTGAGCATGAGCTTCTCAACTATAAAAATCTAGAATGTGTGTAATATAATTTCTTGCCTTGCTGGCATTGTTACCCACGCAGTAAACGGTTGTTTAGGTTTGCATTCCTCAAGTCTTACATGTGACAGCTCTTCATTTGGATTTGGTTATAAGGAATTTGGAAATTTTGCTGCGTCAAAAACAAAACAAACAAAAAAGTGATGCCTCAGAAGAGAAGATATGGCAGTTCAGAGCCCAATGTGCTGGATGCAGATTTGCAGGAGTGGCTTTTATTTCTACTGGGAAAGTCTGACAAAGCTTTCAAAGCCTGGCGGTATTGTTTAGTGTCATACTTTTGATTCCTTCTCAACAATACTATTGTTTTTTCCATGTAAAGTACATTTGACTAAATAGATTATATCTAAAGTGTCTTATCTTGCACCACTGAAACAAACCCCATTGCTATTGGACTTGGTTTTTATTTGGCTTTAAATGAAACTTTTTGAAGAGAGAAAAAAAAGATTTGATATTTTAAAATCTATTTTCAAAGTGGCAATACTATAGAGAGCAAACTATTGGATTCTCCAAGCTATAAAATGAGTCCATTCTAGGATCACTGACCCTCTTTCATTTGCTTGTCTAGGTAACAGCTAGGTGCTAATAATCAAACAGAAGTTTAGGCACTGGAACATTGAGGTGGGTCATAATAACAGAATACCATGATGTTTCGATCCCAACAAATTCACTCCAAGGACATAGAATTTACAAAAAAACTCTACAGGCCTCAGCTAGTATGTTAAATGTTAAAGTTCATGATTGTACAATTAGGAAAGGACTAAACAAGTATGGCGTGTTATGAAGCGTTGCCAGGCGAAAGTCTTGTCTCTCTAAGAAGAATATATTAGCATTTGTAAAGAAGATTAGGCTAATATCCCTTTGGATGAAGAGAAGATGGATGAAAGTCAAATAGAAAATAATTGCTTTAAATTACTTGAAGTTGTTCTTCAAGGTACTGAATCATGGGGTCTACTTGCTTTTTTGTTTTTTGTTTTTTTTACTGGACTGGATGGAGTTCTGAGAAAAAAATCTTTCGCTTTCAAATGACTGTACATGTTTTTGATATATTGTGTATGTGAAACTGATTTTATTTTTTGTATTTGTGGTGTAGTGCTGCATTAATACAACGCAGGCTGGCAGTAACACCTCAAAAACAGCAGGATCGATGTCGTAATCTCTCAGTTATTTTATGAGAAGTAACATTCACCATCTGTTCGCGTGGCAGTGTTGGATATCGCTCAGTCAGTGACACGGGTGAATGACATCACTCTCTAAAGATCTAATCTGTGAACGTAGGTGCGCTATGGAAGGTTTCTTTTTTTCCTGTTAAATCGAGGCCCTGAAAAGAGCCGCGAGTCGATGTGAAAGATGTGCATGAAAGACTGCAGATGAGGGAGCGTGTTTTTATATCTTTGAGATATCTCCCACAGTGGAGTGTGGAATGAAAGAAACTATTTTGTTTCTGAACATTTCCAAAGCCAGTCAAATGTGAGTGGGAGGAGTAGATATGTACTTCTTTTGAAGGAGGACTTATTAGTTAGTTATCGCATCAGATCATTATATGCGATATTCCCAGCTGTACTTATTTCATATCAGTTCAGCTGAGGTTCAGTCTGCACTGCTTTTCGTATTGTTGGCTTATCAGGAATAAAAAAAGAAAAAAGATTGTTGGCACGCCACCGCAGTGCACCTGTATGTTTAATTCTCAAATATGGCACAAGGGACCTGTTTAACAAACTGTACACTGTGTAAAAATGTTTGGAATCTTTTTCTGGATATTAGTTGTGGATTATTCTTACAACTTTCCATAAAGCTGAGTAAATTCCACAACGTTAATTAACCTAGATTCCCAAATACGGCACCAGACTATATGCTTAGATTATTAAAGCTGTCAGTCTAAAAAGAAAAGTCTTAAGAGTTGGATATACATCCAGACTATACTGCTTTATATCAGTGATAGATAATTTACTAAACTTTTTAATTACACATACAGCAGAGTAAATATATTTAGTAATAGATGGATGTCAGATGGACTTGGTTGATGTATTTTTTTTAATTAATAATCTTTTTTTAGCCTGTGCCACCTGCTCATCTGGCTTTTATGCCTCTCTAAAGGAAACTAAAGACACACCTTTAGTTTAGCTTGACAAAGCCTGTATCATCCACCTGTCTTTTGGGCCCATTTTCTCAGCTCCTGCTGTTTCTGTTGCGGTGGAAAGAAGTTGCGGTTCCTGTGTGCTTGTGAGCACAGACTGGAAAGCGGGAGGACCGTGTTGATGCTTAAAGAAGAAGATGTGCAGGCTAGCTCAAAGACCGCACTCCAATGAGGTCCCAGGAGAGCACTGAGCATTGACTGAACACATTTCACATTAACACAAGAGGGGAGCAAGGGAATGAGCAGGAACAGGGCTGGTCCTTTTACTGCTTGGCAATACACAACCACAGTTAATGAAGTGTTTTTGAAAGGTTTTGCTTGAAAATGGGGTAATAAGCAGCCGTAAAGTATATGTCCGTCATTTTCACTGCTACAACAGCTCCTTGGCTGTGACTGCTCGCACAGCTCAGAATTGCATAAGACTGCTCAAAGTCAGACCATAAGCTGTGCACTGGAGCTGGCTACATTTCGCTGCCTTGAGGCTCATGTTTGCTTCCTTCTCCTATTTCTGTTCCTTATTCTCTTCCTTGCATCCCCCATCTACTTATCCCCCCTTCCCGTCATGCTTCAGCGGACCACCTGAGGGGGGCTATGTGCTGGTGACAGCTTGAGGGGTGATGTGGGCAGCCTTCCTTTATAGCTAGAAGATAGTGTAGAAGAGGGAGAGGTGCTGTGGAATAGGGCTTTGAAAGTGAACAAGTCCACTGCACTAAAAAAAAAAGTCCACTGCACTGATTTGCTACTAGGTAGCAACGAGACCAAACAGTTGATGCATATTTTCTGTATTTGCTTTGCAGTGTGCTATCTAGATAAACAACAAGAAAATAAAATAATTGTGAGCAACTGAAAAGGTTGAACTAATTTAGAGTGGTGCATGTGGAATTTAAAGAAAAGCTGTGATATACCCCCAGTATTGTTAGCTAAACATGCACATGCTAAAAATAGAAATACCGCATCAATATATTGAAAAAGCTTGTTATATTGGGAGGATTTGATGCATAACTCTGGAGAGCTGTACAGTTTGTGCACATTGAAGTGGGGCTTCTGTCTGTTAATGAAATTAATTTTGTGAAGATTGGGTCAGTGTATTCAAAGGGGGGGAGCTAAACCGTGGCAACTACTCTGGAATTCCTGCTAATGGCCTCGAGGCTGGCTCTCAAAGCAGGTCAGTCTAAAAGGATGTTGGAATCATATTGCAGTTATCTGGCAAACATTATTTTCTGTGTGGTAACTTGCACTAACTTGTTTTGGTATCTCGTCTGTGCCATAGATATAACCAAGGTTGCTAATGCTATCTTGAATGATAACTTAGCATTTCATCCTTTCATCAAAATGTGGTCACTCCTGACTTTGAGAGATGAACATGCAACATGCAAAAATGCAGAGGCCATAAAACAGCTCTGGTCTGGTTCTGACTTTATTGCTCTAAAAGCTGTATTAGCAGTATAGTAAGAATTATCAGTTAATGATTTTATGAATTAATTGGCAGATCAAAGACTTTCCGAATTTCAAATGGGACATAATGAATGAACAAACAGGCTATGGATGTGCTGTCTGCATATGTAACAGTAAACCGTCACTGGGGACAGTGTCAAATACATGAGGAACAACTGTTAATGTGTGTTACTCCTGTTGTTGTTGTTGTTGTTGTTTTTCTTTTCCTTTTTTCCCCTCTTGTTCAATTTGTCTTGCTCTGTTTTCTTTAAAAGATGTCTTTTCAACCAGTCAGTGTTCTACCTACACACAGCATCACAGCTGTTGAAATACTCCCAGTTGGAATTGATTGGGTGCACACAAACGCGTCTCCCTTATTGCATACCCATAATCCTTTACCCAGCCAAGACCTATGCAAATGGACAGGATCATAAATCCTTTATTAGGAGAATTTGCAAGTCAGAAATTTTATTAAATATGTACATTTTATGTGATATGAGATTTAGAGTTAACAGGTATGTAAAGTAATAGTTAGCACTCCTTAATGAATCAAAGGTCTGCACATTGTCAGGAATAATCTGAAGACTAAGCTCTAGCTAATTCTTTATAAATACGGCTGCAAGTTTTTCAGTCGGTGCCGGAGCTCAGAATGGCAGTATACTGTGCATGAAAGGTCTAAATTGAAGGAGCTGTCGTATGTTGAATGCAAAATAGTCCTGTGCATATTTTGATGGGAAACTGTGCTGTCTCTTAGCCAAAGTCTGCGGTTGTTGGACATCTCCAGTTCCAAAGAGAGACATATTTATTAGCCTCTTTAATTACTCTCCTGGCTGAAGTTTTTGTTTACTTTTAAGATTTGCATTGCTGAAAGATCACACAAGAAGATGGATAGAAAGAGAGAATGTTTAATAAGTGCTGGCTGTGAAAGATTAAGTTGGAAATGTAGAATCACTACTACTGCTAGATTGTTACTTGAGCTTTCTAATCTTCTGTGATGAAAGTAGTATGTTTACCTAAAATAAAAAACATTGTCAGCACATGGTGATTGACGTTGTCATTTTAATTTTAATTTGTAGTTTTAATTTCTTCAAAGAAAAAAAGTCAAGGCCATATTACCATCTTCAGATTTTTGTGGGAGGAGAATATGGTGACCTTGGAATACATTATATCTATGCTGAACGTGTTGCATTTTTGTGGGTGAGGTGCCTGTGACAGGGAGATGATTCATCTCATTTTATAGATCTTCTGTGTGTGATGTAATTCAAATGAAACCAACATAAAAGGATATATTAGAAATCACTTGGAGTGTGATGATGGGCTCCTTCCTCCATGACTATTTATTAGATTATCTTATATTGTAACAATGCTGTTGTGTCTAAGGCTTTTAAGTTCCACTTGTTTTGAAGTATTTCTTTTGGTATGATGTAATCCTGCTTTAACGCTTAGACCAGAGAACACTGAGGGTGCTTGGTAAAGTTTGTCCTTCTGCAGGTTTTGCTTTTGTGCTAATCAGTCAAAACACCAAACTGTACTTCCACTAAGCTGCTGAGCACTAATTTCAAAGCTTGTTGCATTGTTACAAAAGACTTTACTTTGTGGGCAGTTGTTTTTATAAGCAAGTCAGTTTGATGAAAATGGTGTTTTGCAGTCTTTGCCTCGCTGTAGAGTAATTCAAGCGCTACTTGAGGCTGACAGATTAGTTCATAAGCAGCAGGGTGGCCTGTGCTGGCCTGTGATGTATGCGGTTGTAAGTGGTCTGTCTGAAATTAATGTGTGTGGCTGAGAAAATGATTACGTTTCAGTCCTCATGAGGGAGTTTGGGCCTAATTAACCTACTTCTTTATGACTGTTTCTTGTGCTCACTCACGGTTAGGGCAACCAAGCACACCCTTCTCTGACACCATCACACGTACTGTTGTGTTTACTGTGGTCTAGTCTCCGTCCTCCAGAAAGAGATTGACTAGTAGAAGTTGGCTTGTTGTAATAGAAATATGATTGCTGTTCTGTATCTGTGAGACTAGCAGTACTCTTAACAGCTTCAGCTGAAGTCATTTCATCTTTGTGAGTGGCAATACTTCCAAGGAGAATATTGCCAAAACATTTAGAGATATGCAATGCTAAGACTGACTGCAAGGGAAATGCAGCTATAGAGGATTTTGGAAATAACCTAATGAGCTGTGCACTGTGAGCAAATTCAGATAGTCTTGTGTGGATTTTTCTCTGCTGGAAAACAAGATTAACTGGTCCAAGACTAGGTTTGTGCATGGACAAAAGATCTAAACAAATCTGCAATTAAGTACCTCAGCTTTGTGCTACCATGGTACAAGGAAGTGTCTCCTCTTCTTTCCGAAACCATTAGAATTTTGTGTATAGCACAAAAGATAAGAGTTCCAATATTTAAAGAGCACTTATAAAAAGTTACTTTAGGTAATGTAAAACTAAAATGTTTAGCAGTTATTTTATACTTTCAGTTTTTAGGAAAAAAACCTACCTGGGTTCCTTTTGTGTGTACATTTGACTTGTGCTGTATATTGCCCTCTCACTGCCATTACACAATGCTGCTTGCACCTTGTTTCAGTAGATTCACACTTCAAATTAGGATCCGTGTTATTTATTAGAAAAGAAGAATGGGAAATTCCCTTAATGTACTTGCTAAATGAAAAATGTGTGTTTCAGGATATGTGAGATCTTTGCTTTTTCTAAGCACAGTCTAGTTGGTCCTACTTAATTTAATTAGCTGGTTTTCTTCACTCTCTTCTCTTCTTCAGTGAAGCCTGGACTGCTCCACTTTAACTGGTGACCAGCTGTTTACGTCTGCCTAAATCAGAGATGAGTGCCAAATCTGTAATCAACAAGGAGGTGTTCATACCTCACGATGAGAAGATGCTTGCTGCTGTACAGGTGAAGCGGAGGACAAAGAAAAAGATCCCCTTCCTGGCCACCGGTGGTCAAGGAGATTACATGACGTTCATCTGCGTCTCAGGTCAGGACAAATTAAAAAACCTCCTTTTGTTTGCTTATGTTTAAATGCATTTTATGCTTTTTGCCTTTCTATTTGCGAGAGCGCACCACTTGCGCCTTTGCAACCCACAGTCACATTTCCGCATGTCTCCCATAATTCTTCCACTAATGCTCACACTGATGAGCATGTTTACATTTTCCCCTGCCAACAGAATGACACACTAAATCAATTTGCTGCAGGGCTTCATGTCAATCTTTTTAAATAGATTAGATTTAAGCTGAAATTGATTAATTGCTTCACCAGAAATTCAGGTTTCAGTTGTTTCAGTTTGGGGTTTTTCTCCCTTATTGTTGGAACATTAGCTGATGTATTACTTGTTAATTGAATTACCCAGGCAAATTGTTCATGAGGAGAATATCTAGATCCTCCTTAATTCTCGTGCCAGAAAAACTGCTTGTGAAAATCTGATACATTTTTCATTTTCTGTCTTGAACGCTGCTCTGGCAGCAGTAGATTACATGACTGAGGGTTATAGTTAACTTAAGGATGATTATGAGGAATTTAAAGTATAACCAAGCAGCTCAAAGCCAGTAAAGCTCTGTCTATGTTGGATTCAAATTCAAGGTTGCCTTGCAGCAGGCAAGTTACTCAACAGTCAGCCTCTTTATTTACACCCTCAGATACATGTACATGAAAGGCAACTGTAGCGAGCGCAAGCCACAAATTTTCAGAGAGTGGACACTGTTTTTCTAAAGGGTTTATAATGAGTCATTTCGCCTTTCATGTGGAAATAAGTATTGCTTGATATTCACTTCTTGTAATGCCAGTCTCGTCACGTCCCTTGCAGCAGCGTTCACCTTTGTATCTCATTTGAGCTTGGCCACTGTGAAATATATTAAAATCACTGGATGTCCTAATTGCTTATTTTGCATGGCAGAAAAATGTGGTAATTATCCGATGTTGTAGCTTTTTGTTAAATTCAAAATTACTTTGTATCTGAAAATTGGGTATCTATGTTGTTCCTTTGCCTGACCTAACGTCATGTGTTTTAATCTATGTATATTGTATTTTCTATGTCTTAATCCTCACTGACTTTGATACTCCTTGTGTCTGCTCTACTTGTTTCACAAGAGCAAAATAAAAAAGAAATGCATGTCACCATGGGCCAAGGGAGTCCATGCGTTTGTAGAGACATTTGATTTAGGTGGTGAACATCCGTGTGTAAGCATCAAAGCCTCTTGCTGACATGTTTTCTAATGACTCCACACCTCCGATACTGTGTTGTTGTCTAAGAAAAAACATGCTTGGTGTCATTAGTTGGCTTCCATTTGATTTGCTGGAATTGCTGCAGCTGTTTGTCCTTTCTGCTTGTTAAATAATTTTAAGTTTGACTGGATATTTCTCCTCATTATCTTTTTCTGCATTCATTTGTTGCCATCATTGTGTTGCTACTACTTTATCTAAGCCAAAAAGTGCCCACTACTACACATTTTACAACAGTTGCAATCGGGGCAGTTGAGTAATTGGTCAATTCACTGACCATCATATCCATAGATGACGGGCACATAGTTAATTAAACAAAAAATACCTCCAAAATTTGATTACTGGATATTTTTTTTTATTCATTAGCTGAGCATTATTCTCAGATTCTCAACTCTGTGTTCCAAACATAATCTTTACCCACATGGACCTCCTAAGTAATGGTAGTCAAAGTGTATTTGGTGACTTATTTTAGCATTTTTAAACATCCTCAAGTGATTTATTAGTGGACAGTCTGCCTGTTGTTATTGCAAAAGTTTGGTGGTTTTGCATGCACGTGTCCAGGACTGGGGGAAGAAAATACTTTGGATATATAAACCCAAGATTAATTTGTGCCACAGTGATTGCAATAGAAATCTATGGAAAAGAAAAGCATACCATATCATCTGTCAAACATGGCAGAGGCACACATACATGGTCATGTCTGGCTGCCAGTGGAAGTAGCATTATTGATGATGTGAAAACTGATAGAAGTAGCAGGATTAATTCAGTCCAAATGGGCCATCCAGGCATTTTGCAAAAGCAACCCAAGAGTTTCTCGAAGCAAAGAAATGGGATGTTATTAAATGGCCAAGTCGTACTCCCTATTCCAGCCAGGTGGAGCATGACTTTTAGTTACTGAAGACAAAACTGAATGCAGAGACCAACTGAAGATGGTTGCAGTAAAGACCTGGCAGAGCATCTCAAGGCAATGTCTGTGGCGAAGGACTTTTACTCCCAATATTAAAACCAGTTCTTATACGTAAAGCTGGTAGTTTGTTAATTCAGAACTGAAATTGGGCTGCGTATAAAAATGGTTGCAAGTACAAAACACTCAATGCAGTCATTTTGTTAAAACCTCTTGAATTACACCAGAAAGTATGCACTTCACTCTGGTTTGATTTGAAATGCACTGCAGAGATGTACTGAGAGAAATATTTACAAAATCTGCCCTTATTCGACTGCCTTTGCCCCTAACTGTACTTTTATAGAGATTTTCTACAGTCATTGGCTCCAACCTTGGTCTAAGGATGGATAGGAATGCTGTTGTTGAGTATGAGTAAAAGGACTGTAAACTGTTGCATTCCCACTTCTTTTATTATTTTTTGGTAGGTTTTTGCATTGGTTTACACAAAATTTATGTGGACATAAGAAACGTTTCACATGCTGTCATCATTTTCTTGTATGTAGGAATGCATGTTGTACCAAAAGAAATCCAGAGAATACACTGTCTGAGAATTCTGCTATCACCACCATTGCACCCATTTATCTTCCCCTAGACACTCTGACTGTCTGCATTAGTGGTCTCCTGACTCGGCTGATGTTTTGTATCACATGTGGGAACAGAAGTAGTGCCTTCACTACTTCTGTTTCCACAAGTCATGTGGCTTTTAAGCCAGCACAGCATTGTTCTAGATTTTATGTGCGTTTTCCTATGAATGTGCTGCACAATAACACCACAAGTTTGAAACTAGTCAGCTCATGGCTCCCAGGGCATTTTAAACAGAGGGCAGCTTGTGTTGCTTACGTGTTCAGGATGTGTGTAACTGTAAAAGTACTGTGTGTGTGTGTATAAGGGTGGGGGATGGTGCTTGTTGACAGTCTCATGGCGACAGTAGCATATACTTGAAGCCTGGGGGCCAAGCAGTGGCAGAGTTATGTAATCTGTGGGATGTCACGGTTAAAGGAAGCCTAAAGTACCAGAAGCTGTACTGTAGAGACAGCTACAAGAGATTCACTCTCAAACTGAGTAAGGTAGCAGAATGAAACCACATGACTTCTGCACTCACTCCAGGATCATATGCTTTTGTGTTGTCAAAAGAGGAGTATCTGAATACGTCAACAATCAAGATGTTTTTGTAATAAATCACTAACCACTCAAGTCTTTGACTTGTGTGTTTGTTGAGCACATGGCTGTTTGTCTTAGGTAGAGAGCTGCATTTATTAATGGAACAAAAAAGCCTGGACACCTGCCAGTTGGTGAGCAGTGCCGCTTACTACAAATTACATGTTGCTGGAGGAAAAACGAAACTAGTTTAGCTCACTTAGCTGGCTGTTGTTTGACTTTAGAGTGAAAGCTTGTAAATTAATCTTATGTTAGCAAAGAAGACTGATAATAATCTTAAATTCCCTGCAGCAATAAACTGATTTCCACTAGAGGAGGGTTTTTGTTTTTTTTGCCCACAAGGTCTAGCAGAGAGCTCTCAAAAAACACTTGACTTTTTGGTGTGCATGATCATCTTTCTCTCCTAATTTGTTTGATGTAGTTCTCTGCATTTTTTTTTCTGTTTCAATCACAGTCTAGATTTAGTATGTGTATATACACAATGTAAAACTAAACCAGTGATATCTGTTATTCATATTACTGCCTATGCTAGTTGTTATTCAACTTAATGTGAGGTTGCATAATTTCTATTCTTTCTCACTATTTAATTTCCTAGCTCTTTCAAGCACTGTTGGGGTCAGTGCATTGTGATTGATCCCTGTTCACATGCCAAACCACAGTGTCATCACAGTTTAAGTCACTGGTGGGTCATTAACTTTCATAAGGGCCTGAATGAGAACAAGGTGTGTTGTGGAAGGCTCCATTAATATGATGAACTCAGTTCTGCTCAATACTGATTTTTATCTCTTCATAAAATTCCACTTTTAATAGTTTTTATAATTAGGCCATGAATATATGCAGTGGGCATAGTAAAATGGCAACAATTTATAATTTAAGTTTTTGCAAAATTTCAGACTTTTATCAGTACTGTTGGCATTTTGCTTGTAGTCCAATTGCTTCATCTTCAGTTTTTCAGTTCCCCTTTTCTTGTTCAGAGAGAAAAATGTTAAAACCCAAAACAGACTACAACTGCACAAGAGTCTGGGTCAAAGTCTGTGTGGAAAATCCAAAAGACAGAGGAGAGGAGAGAGAGAGGTGATTGTCATTGAGAATGGATCTGTAACTGGATTTGTTAAACTGTGGATATTTGTTCTCGTAGAACGGTGGATCCAAAGAGAACCAACATCTTTACTGTTGGCATGCGAGTAAGAATGTTACTCTCAGGCTGGCTTGAAAGAAACTGCATTTCATCTGCAGATAGGCCTTTGTCCTGCAGTTTGGTATTTAGTTCATTAGTGCAGTCACATCAACAGCAAATGCATTTGAGGGCTCTAGAGTGTTCTTGCATTTCTTCTCACAAAACTCTTAAGTATATATGTTTTTGAGTCCCATATTCTTTTTAACAGTTTGCCCAGGCTGAGCCACCTGACAGCTGTGTGGTAGCCTCTGTCACAACGTTTAGTCTCGTGCTCCTCCGAAACTGCGAACAGACTATCTGTGATTCAGCGCTCTTGCCTTGACCAAGTTAACTATTCATTAACAACATGGTTAATTTTTAGCACTGACTTAGATCACCTGGAGTATAATACAGTGTAAAAATACCAGTTTCTGGGTTCGTTTCAGTCTTTTCATCTTGCATCTGATTCAAAAGTCCAACATTTTTCCCTGTCACATTTGG